CAGTTGTTAGGATGCTTAAGAATATTTTCAAGTGTGCATTTGTCCTCAACATGTAGAAATCAGTCATGCCATTCACCCAGGGACATACAGAAATTTTGTTGCAGATCTAAGAATTACAACAGGCATAAGCCAAATATAAAATTACCACCTTTACACAAAGGACAAATATACAATAGCTGTAAACTGAAGTTGAATCTGTTCCATTTATCTCTGTGGATGAACTCACATTAGCAGGTATAGTAATAAATTTGTCTGCACTAGCCTAGAAGAGTTAAATAGCTGTCCCTCAAATCAATGGTGTGAGTTTAAGCATCACTTGAGCAGAACTTTTAATATATCCCAGTGTTTATCTTTCTTCCAATTATTCTCTCTTTTCCATTATCCTACTTTCTTTGTTCTCTCATTTATGCTCAGCTGGTCCTGTATTCTCCATTCCATTTTTGGCATCATTATTATTATAACTTCTCTTGGTATTTGTCTTCCTCTAACAGCTCTCATCTGTGCCATTTGCTTTGCCCTTTGTTTTATTCTTGTCTTCTGGACTGGGCTGGCAATAAGAGATGACTGCATGGCAGAGAAACCTTTCATCTCAATGTTCAGTCAGTAAACAAAAGTATTGAGCTGACTCTCTGGTGTCTGGTGTTTTTTCTCTCCATCAAACAGAACCAAGTAAAACACAACAGATCTCCTCATGCAAAGCTCAGAGCTCTGTCCTCTGCCAGGGCACTTCTTGTAGATTCTACTGGATGGATGATCTGCATGCTTTGCAATCATAACCCACAGTTTAGCAGTACAGAGATTATTGTTGTGCTGTTCATGCATCACAGCATTTTATTTCTTACCACTCAAAATTCCACAAAACATATTTAATGTTTCTTTCCTTTACAAAATGCATGAATATGTATTCAGAAAAGAGCATTGGAGTTTCATTTTTTAACATGCTCCAGAAACTTTATGTATTGCATATAATCAGACCAAAAATACTCCAGATTTATTTAAGTTCTTCAAAAGGAATTCCAGACACTTGATACAGGTAAAACTGTGCATTTTAGATGACTGCTGTTTATAGTGTTTGTTCTTTCAATTCTATCCAAAATTGCTATCTACAGAAATCCAATATTTCCTTCTAGCTCTTTCTAAAGGATTTAGAAGACAAAAGAGAGATTGCTTAAATGTCATTTTTTTTCCCTCCTGACAGATTGCCTATTAAGTAGAAAAAATTTCAAATAATGTGTGAAATAATGCTGCAAGTCAATGACAGGGTTCTGGCCCTCTAAATCTGACATCTCACAGCTTCTGCCGAGGGTCACAATTGCAGACACTTTCCCTTCTTGATTAAGTTTTTCTGCTTATTATGTTTTATCACCTTATGCTCTTGGTGTGAAAGAAAACTTTCCTTTTTTTTTTCCTCTGTCTGCTTTTGAAAGAAACGTACCGTGACCTGACCAGAAAAAAACATTTCATATTGGCTGAAAAATTAGGGCTGATTGGCATTTAATTTTGTATTGCGAGTTTTCTCTACTGCAAAATAGAATAATTCCTTTCCAGAGAGCTAATTCCTTAGGGGACCACCCAAGGAGCTTACACTAGTCCCACCTGCCTGGCTCACCAACTGGCTGGCATCCCACTCATGTTTCTAGGCAGACAGCCAAAAAGAAAGGTCACCTGAGAGCAGCCTGCCTGGTGAAGGTGATAAAAGCCACCTGTACATCAAGGGAGCCAAGTGTCAAGTTGGGCAAAGAACAGAGCAGCCTTCAGGCAGTCTGGGGAATCAACTGGTTAAATATTTGAAGTGTTCAAATAACTTAAATCTGAAGCAACTTGCAGACAGGTGTTCTGAAAGAAATTTCCAAGAATTGTGATGGTTGCTAAAAATACATCTTAATATACATTAGTACAGAGTAAGACTTACTTCTTGGTGATATTCAAAGAGGAAAAGTGGATAATCTAGGTAACTGCAGAGTAGTTAATCTGATTTCACTTTTCAGCAGAGAAATCCTAAAGTTGATATGGGATTCAATTAATGAAAATTAAAGGTAGAACTATAATTAACACCAGTCTATACAGTTTTATAAGGACAGCTCATGAAACAAATTTAATTTTCCTATTTGACTTCATCATGCTTGTGCAGCTCATAATGTACTTGATTTATTAAGGTTTTTGACTTCTGATAGAAAATTAACTCTTCAAAATATCACTGAGGCACATAAATGGTTTAAAAGCAGGATGGCTGACGGACAAGAGAGATGTCAGTAAAAGACCATCACCATCAAATGCAGGTGGCTCTGAAAGGACTCTTCTGAATTTGTGTTATGTGGACAATACTTACTAAGGAATGTATCTCTAAACTGGAAAAAGTGATTTGGAGAGGGTTGATAGGCTGGAAGACCTGCAAGCAGGTCTCCATGAACCCATAGAAGTCTATAAGGAAAAAGGGAAATCTAATTTCTTGTATGTATAAAGACAGCGGTAATCAGGATGAGAGACAGCAGATGCTACTACCATGAGTTGTAAAATAAAATAGGTCAGTACCTCTGTACTCTGCCTGTTGAAACATGACCAGAAAACTATACTGTTTACAGAAAAGGGATACAGAAAACCTGTGGAACCTAGGCAGAGATGCCTTAGCCATATGGGGAGAGGTATCAGGGACTAAAGAGCTTTCTGATGCTGTAGGAAGATTAAATCAGGTATAGTCATAATACTGATTGCACACAACTTTTTCAAAGCAAGGCTGATTACCAGAAGCAGTGATAGTTTCTCCAGATTCAAGTATTTTCCAGCAAATCCTAGATGCATTCTTCCTGGTGCTCTGCATTTAGACTTCAGGCGCAAGCTGTAATGTGGGGATAAATTGGTTAAATACAGATTTGGGTACACAGGAGTTAAAAATTAAGAAGGCAACATTCTTCTTAATCTTTAAAGTTCATGAGGATATACAAAACACCTTTATCAGTTTTCATGAAACTCTGCAAAAATGGCTCTTCTCACTTCAGTAGTTTGAGGCCCATTTACACGGCACAGGGCAAGAAAGAGAATGAAGATTCTTAAAAGTTCTTTGTCTTGGGAGAAGTGCAAAACCTCAGGGAGAGCCCTAGGGTGGGATAAGCTTGGTATTTCCCCTAGAAGCAGAGGTGTTTGGATGTCTGGCTTTTTAAGTGAGGCACAGAAACACTACAAAGAGACCACCAAGCGAACAACTGAGTTTTGAATGATCAACTCTAACCATCATTTTATAAAACATCCTTGTTAAAATAAAGCCCCTGATAAAGACATAGATCATAATTTGTTAGAAAGAAACTCCAGTTAACTTAGTTGCAGCTGTAGGACAAATCTTTCTCTTCGCTAAATAACCTTTCAGCTGATTCTGATTCTTTCTGACATATTAATGCTCTGTGTTTAAGAATTCCCCTCAGCTCTCAGATTAATACCACCCAGTCTTTCACTAATAAAACAATCTTTTCCCTTTGCCCTTTCTAAGTTGAAGCGTATGCAAATTATATCCAAAGACATAGTCCTTGGATTGATTCCCTGATGATGGAAAGGTAATTTGCTTTCTCTGTGTCAGGTAATGCCACCCTCACACAGATGCTTGAGCACTGGTTCAATTTTCTTGATTGTCAGTAATGATGACATCTGTTAGCCTGATTTTATCCCAGGACTATGCAAGGATTTTGTTATTTTACAAAGCTTATGCACCTGATCTTTGCTGGTGCTCTTGCTGCTGGAAAATGCAGCATCACTTGAATGGTGTTGAATACAGCAGCCAGATGTTAGAAAGAAGTCTTGCCTTTCATGGCAAATACAGGATGGTGTGAGCTAATCAACAGATTGTTCAAAAGCCAGACAGAAGTGTGGTATGACAGTGTCTTAGAACAGACAAGGAAGTGTGTGCCATCAATTCATCAGATGTCAGTCTAAAAATAATCATTGATGGCTTATTACCCTACAACCCTAACAAGAGTGTTTCAAAAATCATGATTGTTAAGTGATTTTTTTTTTCATGTCTTCCTTGAACACTCTTAGAGATGCTTGGACTTCCTCCAGATTGAGGGAGTGCCAATATCCAAATGCTCAAAACCGCTATATAATGGTTAGCAGTGAAATCTCTCCCATAGGAAGATTAGATCCATGATTTCCAGAAGAAAAAAAATAGCCCCTTCCTTGGGATGTACAATGGTTACCTTTACACATAACAAACTGGCAGAATTCTGTCAGAACTCTGAATTAACCAGGGCAAAGTCTTCACTTATTCTTTCTTCAACCCTTCCTTTATGCTGCGGTAATCTAGCAGCAGTAATTGCTCAAGTTTTCTCCCACAGCAAGGCCCTGAATTCCCCAGATGTAGGCAAACACAGTGGAAAACTCCCTTTGTTCCTCCACTACACTTCGTCTCTTCCATAGGAACTGAATAATTACTGGTTTGAAATTATTATTATTATTATTTAAATTAATATAGCTTCCAGAGTCCCCAGTCACAGTTAAGGCCCTGTTGAATCTGAGACTTTATGAACACACAGCAAGAGTCTATCCCCTTGCATAAAGACTTCAAAGTGCCAATGGATACCAGAGAAACAAAGCAGAAGATAATGACTTGTCTAGGTAATTTAGCAGGTCAGAAAAATTTACAAACCTCTCTTGTCCTCCAGACCCTGTACATTCATTCAGCAGACTTCTTCTAAAGCATTGAAAGTTGTTTTGTGATTTGCTGTAAAACAACTGATTAAAAGTGGGGAAAGCCTTCTGAACACCAATGATCTTGCTCCCCTTCAACAAAGAAACCCAGGTGGGCAGGATGGCTCCTGAAATAGGTTGTTGACATATTCAGAGATAATCTGGGAGTTAAAATGTTTTCATCAGCTTCAAATTATATTGTTGGCTGCTGTTTAACCTATGTGGCTCTGACAGCAAAGGAGTTGGTTATAGCAGCTCTCAGACCATTCAGAAAGTAAGACACGGGTTCTGTCATTCAGTTTTGTACACAAAACACAGTTCCTTACCATTGTCTTTCTGTTCTCCATCTCCCATTCTTTCTTGGTAAGAAAAAAACCCAGCAAAAATGATTAATCCTCATGTCTGGATTGCAGCAGTCTTGTCACCAAACCTGGAAACAGCATTTTCATCATTAACCAATTTTGTGGCAACATTTGCTGTGAAAAAATAAGCTTTTAAAAATTAAACGTGTTTACAGGCAATAAAGCAACTAACAAGAAAGGGACAGGGAATTGACAGCTCAGGTAAAGAAGCACAGCTAGATCACATTACTCAGAGCCCTGTCCAACCTGTTCTTGAATGCTTCCACAGATGGGGCATCTACCTTCCCTCTGGGCAGCCTGTGCCAGGGTTTCACCACACTCATTGTAAAGAATTTCTTCCTTGTATCTAATCCAAATCTATCCTCTTCCAGTTTGAAACTACTACCCCTTGTTCCATCGCTACAGGCCCCGCTGAAAAGTTTGTGTTCAACCTTTTTAGAAAGTTCCTTAAAGAACTGAAGGGCCACAGTGAAAGTGTCCCCAAAGACTTCTTTTCTCCAGGCTGAACAACCCAAATTCTTCCAGGTCAATGACAATTTTCTCTGTACTGTCTGATGTTCTGCCAGTGCTACAGAATATGCACTATTTCACATATTCACTTTAGTAATTCACATATTCACTTTAAGAGAAAAGAAACCTCAAAAACCTATAAAAATTCACTAAGGCACTCTTATTGCATGCTGCATATACTGAGGAAAATGCATTACAGTTAATTGAAAAAAACCACATGGGTATGGACAGATATGTAATTAGACATCTCAAAATGTATTTATAAAATAGTTCCAGAAAATGAATAGTTTTGCAAAATGGAAA